TATTGTAACAAACTCTGTGTTCTTCTGCACCAAATGCATAACTTTTGGGAACAGACATAAGTAAAAGGAAGAAATGGGCCTATTTTTAGATACACAGCATGGAACTGCACAAAGAAAAATCTTTTAATGGCACAGATCGCATTTTGCATTAAACACTGTAAATGGCTTTTTCTGTGACTATTAAGGAAGACACATAGATTTGCCAAAATTAACTTATTTATGAGTAATTATTAATTATTATTATTAATAATACTCAAGAGATCAACACATAGTTGCATAGTACCCAAGATTTAGGGTCTGATCTAAACCCCTGAAAGCAACAGAAAGAATCGTACGGATTTCAGTGTGCTCTGTATCAGATCACTTGTGATTTAACTGCTGTACATTTTGGATAGCGCTGTTGAAATATAAAAACCTGAATAAAGTAAAATTATTTCTAATATTAGCCACATCGTGCAAATATGAATAGGGTGTGTCTTATGATTAGAACTAATTCATTGTCCTTTTGTAACATGTGGACTAAAATCTTGCAGTTCTGAGTCAGGTAAAACTCCCACTGAAATCAGTGCTACTTTCACTGGGATGCAGGGCACCATTTGGGGGCCTGGAGGTGGTAGGCCCCCTGAATTTTCTACTAGTGGTCTACTCTCTCTAGCCCCAGGCAGAGATGTTAACTGCAACACACTTGGAGGCCTAATCTACACTAACCCCCACTGTCGACCTAATCTACATCATTAACATACTTTTTGTGTGCTTTAAAGTCAGCAGGAGTTGCTGTCCCATTGACGCGGGCCACTGTTTTCATCCAGGTGGAATACCTGTGTCAATGGGAGAGTGCTCGGAGATCAACTGATCGTATCTAAGCAGACATGCTAAATCGACAGCCATTGGCTCAATCACTGCACCATGACATAGTGGAGACAAGCCCTCAGTTGTGAAGTGATGAATTCAGAAGCTGGAAGCACATCCTTTGGGACAGAGTGGTGATAGATAGATAGATAGATAGATAGATAGATAGATAGATAGATAGATAGATAGATAGATAGATAGATAGAGGCAGGCTGATTAAGATGATTAAAAGGATTATTAGATGAGATAGAAAGCATTGTCAGGTACTCTAGTCAAAAGATAAGAAACAAAGGGTGGAACTATATGGTGAGAGAGGAGAAAAGTAAATAGAGTTGTCCACCCAGGAGACTATACTGGGGTGAGTGCTGTCAAACACATTAATAAATTATTTGGAAAAAAGGTAAACAGGCAAAATTTGCAGATGATACAAAATTTATTCAGGATAGTCAAGTCCAAAGTAGACTGCAAAGAGTTACAAAGGGATTTCACAAAACTAGGTGACTGGGCAACACAATGAAATTCAATGTTGATAAATGCAAAGTAATGCATATGGCTCAATATAATTTCAAATATACATACACAATGATGGAAGTCTCTGTTAGTTGAACACATGAGTAAAGATCTCTTGGAGTTATTGTGGATAGCTGTCTGAAAATATCTGATCTGTGTCTAATAATAATTTAAAAAAAGAAAAACAAAAAGAAACCTAACAATGCACTGCATCCATGTGAAGCAGAGGGCATATAATTCAAAACCCATGGGAGTTTTTGACTATTGTAGCTAATTATGTTGGAATTAGAAAGAGAGGGTCTATATGAGCCTTGCTATTAACAAGAAGACAGGTTCAGTTTCAGGCTTTCAGTTTGTCATGCACTTGAGTGTGCCATTTAACAATGGATGGAACTACACTCGCATGATTTTGCTGAAATACTTTTAACAGAAAAGTTTTTTTGTTAAAAGTATTTCCACAAAAGCATCCCTGCCCACTATAGACGCGCTTTTGCGCAAGAAAGCTCCGATGGCCATTTTAGCCATCGGGCTTTCTTGCACAAAAAATTAAGGTGCCTGTCTACACTGGCCCTCTTGCGCAAGTATTTGTCCGTCTGCTATGTACATTGGACAAACATCTCAGACACTTCGCCAAAGGATTAATGCCCACAAAACAGATATCAGACAAGATCACAAAGAGAAAACAGTTTCTTGCCACTTTAACCAGAAAGGACACTCTCTAAATGACTTAGCCACCTGCATTCTGCTACAAAGACCTTTTACATCTGCACTTGAAAGGGAATCCTCTGAACTGTCATTCATGTTAAAATTCGACACTTACCACCAGGGACTTAACAAGTCTTTGAACTTTCTCACCCATTATCAAGACAGTTTCCCCAATTATCACCTGTAATACCATTAACTCACAAACATCCCACTCTCCCTACCTTTAATATCAGCAATTCACAGACACTTACCTTCCTTCCTCCCCCTTCCCACCCCCCCGCATCCTCCTTCTGTTCTGCAATGTGATTTGTCCTTTTCATATTTGTTCATTTTTTTAAATTGTATCCTTTGGTATATATGGTTGTGACTACTTTCTTCCACTATTTGATCTGAGGAAGTGGGTCTGGCCCACGAAAGCTCATCATCTAATAAACCATCTTGTTAATCTTTAAAGTGCTACATTGTCCTGCATTTTGCTTCAGCTACCCCAGACTAACACGGCTACATTTCTATCACTATTCTACATGCAGTGCTCTTACGGAAATTCAAGCGGCCAGTGTAGACAGCTGGCAAGTTTTTGAGCAAAAGCGGCCACTGAGTACTCTCACCCAATGAGTACTCTCTTAAAGAGTGAGGACCTGATTGATAGATACAGGTCTGGGGGAGGGGTATAGGTGGTGGCCTGCATTCTAGGGGATTCATCCCAATTACATTAGCCTTTACATAATTTCTTCTTTTCCAAATGATTTTGGCTCAGATTTTCAAAGGTATAATTTTGTACATGTCTAATTCATGCATGTGTGAGGTACATACAAAAGATTGCTCTTGATAATCTGGATCATCATCATTTATATGATGCTTACTTCTCAAATGTTCAAGTAATTAACTGCAAACATTCTGCTTCTTATCCTTTAGAAGTTGTTAGCAAGAGTCCCATTAGCATCAATAGGAACAATATATACCTGAGAATAATTAGTAATAAATGTTTTGGGAGGGTTACTTTAAATTTTTCATGGTAAAATGGAGGTAAAATGGAGGTACAGGGTCATGCCAGTGTCACAGGACCACAAAACCTGGAACAGTCATTGTCAGATATCAATAATATCAAAGACTATTGGTTTTAAACTACCACCTATTCTTGACAGGTTTTTGAAGCCCCTTGGACTTATCTTCTACAAAGCATCAACTACATGATGTCATTGCCTTTACACTTTTGTTTCCATCACTCGGTACTTTCCATCCAGGAAATGGAAAACAACTAAGGACTGGTGAGTTTGTAAGTAAGCAATGTTAAGAAAACTGAAAGCGGCTGATTTTTCCCCCCTCCCAAAGTCATTTGATTGATGCTTATTTTGGGTTACTTATTAGGCTTTTATTTTTATAGCCCTCAGCAATCTTCTGTGTTGCTGCAACTCAGCAAACATTTTCATGTAGGTAGCAGAAATGACATTGGTGGTAGTTAGTAAATCAATTTGAAACATCAATAGAATTGTGCATTAAGTGTTGTAGAATGATCAAATTTTGTATAATATTTAAGGATGAACATCCTCCTGCTATTATCCACCAGTAAATGTGCATAGAAATCTGATTGAAAATGTCAAATATTTTTTAAAATATATCCTATTTATGTGCAAATCAAATATTGGAGCCTGGAACTTATCAGCTGGTCATACTGAACACTTTAGTTACAAAGTTACACTTTAGTTACATCTCTCTACTACTCTTTAAAAAGCTACTATGATAATGTATGCCTATATTCTCCACTATGATTAAGGAGCACTGACACGATGTGTTCTTGTAGCTAAGATGAGGTATACATGTTGCTTGATTTATCAAAGAAAGATGCTAGTATGCCCAGTTTTAATAATCATTCTTAGAATTTAGGCTCACATTTTATCTGACAATTTTTGAATGTATCTGTGTTCATTGTGTCTAATTTTTTTTCATCATAACATGATTCTGTCCACCTAGGATAAACGAGAGAGATACTTTCTACACATTGCAATTTGGTCTTTTAAATGTTCCAATCCAGGAGAAATGAAAATTGTTTAAAGTCTGCCATTGGAATGGCTAGATAACCCCACTGGTTTAAGAGAAATATCAGTTTTATATTACTGAAATAAATCTTGTTTGGTTTGCTGTTTATTTTGCACTAGATTGAGCCTTCAAGCTCAACCTGAATAAAGGTGGGTGTGTGAATGCTCTATCCCAGTATATGTTGGTGTGAGAATGCTCTCAACTTAGAAAAGAGGAGAAGGAGGAGAGCTCCTTTCTAGGCTACAACATGACCAGCTAAACTTGATTGTGAATGTGTTACTGCATTTACATGGGTGCTTAGGAACTTCACAATTGTATTAAGATCGTTTTGTTGAGCTAACTGAAATGGAAAACACACTTTTTCATCATTTAGGCATACTCATGGGCATGATCTAGTCCTTTATTATTTTGATTACTCTCCATTTTACCCCATGTACTGTGGAACTTAAGAGAGTATCTTATGATGCAGAATGATGAGTAGCTCAGGAAATCAGATACGTAAAAATGCATTTTAAGTAGTGATAGCCAGTTAGATGCTCCAGCTGGTGTATATATACCTGGTTGAGTTTTTATTTCTAAAAGTTTGAAATGTTAACAACATCATACGAGATTTTCACCACATTTCAACCAGCTGTATTTGTGCAGAAGCATTAATTTGTCATATGCAAACTGCTGTCACTAGATGGTGATACGTCCTCTCTCTCACATACACATATACAGCAGCAGGTCTGACATGTCATCTGGAATGTGCATTGCTGTAAGACAGACAAACACAGACATATTGCAATTACAGCCGGACTGTTTGATTTCTGGTTGCAAGTGATAAATTAACTTGTAAAAGAGATGTTACAGTCTTTTGAACAACTATTTTAAAGCATGTAAAATTGAAAGGAGCATAAACTCTGTGAAGTTAATTATAAAAATATTATAAGGAAAGCCAAAAAAGAGTTTTCAAAAACTCAAAAAAAAAATAGCAAAATGCTTTTAAGTACATCAGAAGCAGGAAGCCCGCTAAACAGCCACTGGTGCCATTGAACTATTGAGAGGCTAAAGGAGCACTGAAAGAAACTGATCAGGGTAAAAAAGCTCAGTTATCAAAACTGTGAAAATGTAAGATATGTTATTTCTATAAAGATATGAACATTTCTAACATGTAAAGCATCAGCACCTTGCATGAAGAAAGGACTCCGTATGCGGGATATAAGAATGTAACCATTTAAATGGTTAACCAATAAGCATTAACTTATCATTATGGTTTTCATTATGGTTACATGCTTCTGGGAGGCTGGCTGCTGCCCTGCACTTCTGGCTGTGTATCAGAGCCTTCAGCATGGGGCAGCAGCCAGCTCTGTGGGAGCGTGGCTGCCAGTAGGGAGCTTGTGCATGTAAGGTGGCTCCCAGCGCACATTGGCTCCAGCTGATGCCCTTGCTCCCAGGGAGCTGGCTGTTGCCCCATGCTTCCAGGTTCTATAGTATAAAGCTTATATTGCAGATCCCTCAGCACAGCCAGCTCCCTGGGTGTGGGGATGGCAGCTGGAAGCTGGTGTGCACCAAGAGCCAGGATGCTGTGAGCTCTGTTAGAGCTGTGGGTTCTGCAGTATAAGCTTTTTACAGAAGAACCCAGAACATGGAACCACTAAGATTTTTAATGGTTACAGGGTTTTTAACAGTTTTTTTACATCTCTACTCAGTGTCTTACAGAACTGTGTTCTGAGTTAGATCTAAGTACTTGGAAGGAAAGCTGGGAAATCTGTCCAGCTGACTGGTGACCAAAAGCATAAGAACAGAGCAGAATCTTTTACAAGGATTAAACTAGCAGGTGATTTGCTTTCAGTTTACTAGTTGGTTTTTTAATATGACTTCCTAGAAGAACCTGATCTGATTCTCCTCTGATACATGGTAAAACAGTGACGTTAATGGAGACAGACTTGTGAAAATCTGTTGCGAGAGAAGAATGATGCTACTGCATCAGTTTCACAGGGAGGGTCTTTAACACTAGATCTCAGCACTAGCATTGTCACTTCTACCATATGTGCTCCTCTTGTCTGGTGGTTCCTGCTCCTGACCTACTTTTGCTGGAGTGTGAAGAGGGGACAGACTTCAAATAGGTTCCCAATACAGGAAGTCCCTGGGTTACATGGATCCGACTTACATTGGATCCCTACTTACAAACGGGGTGAGGCAACCCCGCACTAGCTGCTTCCCCCCAGCAGACCAGGGAGACGCGAAGCTAGCGCCCCCCCCCAGCAGACCAGGGAGATGTGGAGCGGCTTTTCTCAGCAGACACCTCAGCTTGAGAATAAAGGACTGAGGGAAGTGAGGTGTGGGAGAATAAAACTGAGCTCTGGAGAAATGTTTGGCTAGAGTTTCCCCTACAATATGTACCAGTTCCGACTTACATACAAATTTAACTTAAGAACAAATCTACAGTCCCTATCGTGTACGTAACCCGGGGACTGCCTGTAATTAACCAACTCCAGCACCTACTCCCCATCCCTCAAGCTACAGCTAAAGATGCAAGAGGAACAGTTAACAATAGTGTTTAAACACTTCCCATTTAGATTTAAAGCAGACAGGGATTGAGTTCCCCACCTACTAATAGGCACTACTCTCCAGAGTCATAAAAGTGCTGGTAAAGTCTCTTTCAATGGAGCATAACCAGATAAGGAAGGTTGGGACAGTGAGTGCTTCTAGGCCTTTACAATTCATAGTTACTTCTCATTTGGGAAGAAACATGCTTTTGGCTTTAACAGAAACAAAACTCAAATATTTTTAAAGGTACCATTTTTGCTAATAGTCTCAGGACAGCTGATGTGTATGTTACCATAACAACAGACATCCTTTAAAAAGAAAATTCTGCTTGTTGGGTGTGTTGCAAGTTTAAATGTGCTTAGTTTTCTGTTGGCGCTGATGCCACGCAGTCCTATTCTTTGGAAAGCTGGGCTTCAACAGCAATGTAAAGGAAACAGGTTTGCAGAACAGCTGTTCTTCCAAAGGCAAAAGTACATTTCAAACCTAGGAAGGTTTGGGTTGGTTCAAAATGGAATCAGCTGATTCCTTGCCAAGTCAGCGAATTCAAAGCTGGAAATGGGAGCATCCCTGAAAGGGAAATCATAACAGTTCAATCATCTTGAAGTCATCCATACAGTAATTCCATTGTTGGACACACTCCCGAGTCAGAGAAGGTTTTGTGACAACAGACCTGACTCTAATCAGTTAGGCAATCACTTTCCGGTTACATTGCTGCATTTCTAGATGTTGTGATCTCATACATAATACATAAGGGTCTCTTGATACCATCAGCAGCAAGGACAAGAGGCATTTCTTGCCTGACAGACACCTATTGTCTTGGAATCTGTGATCTAAACTCATGTGGTCAATACAAAATGCCTTCCTGAACTGAAGATAACATAGTCAGAATAAAGATACAAGTTACTGAGAGATTGATTTTCTATCTGGTTGTCAAATATCCAATTCCCAATCATGATTACATGAGATACACATGCATATGCGGCCAGAATATCTTAATCCTGTCAGCATGTGTATATTTTTCTCAAAAGCCCATTGTAGTTTGTAAACCAATAAAGGCATTGGCCACTGTTTTATAACAGAACTGTGATAATCAAAGTTTGTAATTGACACATGTAACACACAGTGTCTGTTTGTGCCTGTGCTCTGGGAGTCATACACCCCCCAAGCTTCTGTTTTCTGACTCCTTTCTTTTGTTCTCCTCCTTCAGGAAGTCCATAATGCTATAGTAATAACGTAACTTGCTTCTGCAGAGGGACAGTAAGACGTTAAATGAAACGTGAGACATAACTGGATAATATCTGTCACTGAAACAACCTCTAGTGATTTTTTAAAGCAGTTCCAATACTTTGGCATTTCCATTTTGGGATGCCCTTTAAGTGGCTTCAGGGGAAGTGCATACGGTAATCTTTGCATGCTGTCTTGCACAGTACGTAATGTACTCAGAAAAAGAATAGCATTAGAGATGGAACACGCTGCGGACAATGAAAACTCAGGGAGGTCATGCAGAACAGAATATACTGAGCATTCCAAGTGGAAGCATTTTATGGATGAAGTAATTATTTCCTGCCCCCAGCATAAATCATGATGATGTTTGTCTGAAATTCCATTCTGGTAAGACTGAAGCCTTTTGTGTATTGAGGTATCTTTCCCTTTCGTTCAGGATGACTGGATGCAGCTCTCTCTAGTGGCTTTGCATTTATTGGGGACATTCAGGGGGCTATTTGTCCTCAGTGAGAATTGCCTCTAGTGAGGACTGCAAAATGCCATGGTGCAAACACCTTCAGGGAAAGTTTTCCATTGCTTCAGACAAAGGTAAAATTTTGACTCCCGTGTGTTGAAAAGTAGCAGAAACACACTGTTCTTCAGGGCGTGGTTTTATAAATAAAAACACAAGAGATGCCCAGAGTGCAGTCTATGGGGCTCCAGAGGCGATTTAAAGGGCTCAGGGCTCCAGTGGCTGCTGCAATACCAGCAGCATGCGAAGCCTACGCAACAAGAGACAAGTAGGTATAGCTCCAAGCTTTGTCCCTTTGACACTTTGTGGAGTGTGTCAGGTAAAACATGCATTGTAAAGTCTTTCTATTTCAATCAGACCCAATGCTTATATTGTGTGAATGACACTGTACAAAATTAAGGCTGTATTAAGTTAAGAAGAAGAAGTGCTAATTTTCATTAGCAATCACACTAGGAAGATTACAATAATGATGTAAAAACCAAGGGACCTGGCTGCATAAGAAAAAAAGAGGTCTCACACAGGATCTAAAGCTCTTTGAAGTCTGTGGAAAGAGTCCTGCTAATTTTAATGGGCTGTGAATCAGGCCCTTTGATATTTTCCCTTGTGGCGTTCTACAGGTTTACATTTTTTGGCCCAATTTAGTATTGCACATGGAAGAACAGTCAATCTAATTAATAAGAGCAATTTGCCACGGCTGTACATGAATTCTGTGCTGTTTGATAGAACTTACTGGAATTCAGTTGGTCTGTTCCATTGCCACAGTAAACCAGGAATATAAAATCCCATTTAATTGGCTAACCTGTTAAACTATTGTCCATGGCAGGCCCCCTATGGGGCAAAAGCAATTCCCTGCTCACGCCAGGTGGAGAGCTGCTCCAGCTCCCACCCATTAACCTTAACCGGTAAGCCTTACCCATTAAACCTTCTGCTCCCTACACAATACCTGAGTGCTTACAAACTGGGAAAGTACTATCAAAATAATAAGGTTGGTGAAACATAAATATTTTAGGCCCCAGTTCTTCAAATTGGCAGCATAGATGCTGTTGCAGAATCAGGGTCTTAATTCTTCATTTTCAGATTTAAAATGTAACATTTTCATTTAACTTGTTCTGGGATTTAGAGACTGGGATCATTTGCATGCCTACACAGAAATGGACTCTCATAAATCCTACCAGTCATTAGTGGGCACACTTATTGTGACTGTATGCTCATATTGCACATGTAATTGCATGACCCATGTTTTTTATTGACATTAAGGCCTTATATTTCCCCAAAAAATATAATTGCCAAATTTATTTTTACTGGAAAAAATAATTTAATTAGGTTATCAGTTTTGAAAAACTGCAAGTTTTAATCATGTCACACAGAGAGGCCACTAGATGGATGAATGGAGCTATTCTTGTTGGTTCAAGAATCATTCTGATGACACAAATTATTTTAACATTTTTATGCTTTCTTGCCACTCCCCCTACTCCTGACTTTATAACTATTGTAAACATGCTGTTTATCATGCATTATGAACTGAACGTATCAAAATGAATCTCTCTCCACTTGAAAAGAGGTTACGTACTGAGCATCTGAATGTTACAGAATTTATTTCATACATTTTGATAGCAGTCCCCG